GGATTTGAGTATGGAATGTCATCTTTCAAAATCAACAAAAACTCGTGCAGTTTTTGTTTTGCGGTGAATGTACCTTGATCCAGTTCTCTGTTTTGTATGTTTTTTACTTCTCTTGTTCTTTATACCCTACACCACATGGTGGTCAGGGTATTATGTCTTTGTGCATTTGTTTGTAACATGGAAAAGGAAGCGAGATAGACCCATAGGTACTTTTGAGGATCTCCATAGAATCACTTTCTGAGTTGATTTATGCATCTCAGTCGTCTGTCTGGCCGTCCGTCTGTCTGTCCATGAATTCTTGTGAACAAAATGCAGGTCGCATTTATTATCCGATTGAGATGAAATTTTCCAAACAACATTTGTTTGGCTCAAGGACAAAACCTATTGAAATTGGAGATAATCGGTAAAAATTTAGATATAACTCCCATATATATCTTCGTCCGATTTGCCGTTTATTGTGCACCAAACGTGTAATAGCAGCCCGAATAGTATGGAATTTTGCACATACAACCAAATTAGGCCTGAAAATAAATATGCCAAATTTGATCGAAATCGGTTCAGAGATACGTATAGCTCCCATATATATTGTTCATCCGATTTGTTATTTTTGCCCTCCGCAGCCGTAATATGCACTCTGTAACAACAATATTTGGGCAAATCTATCAAATACAGCTCAGATATACCTTTACTAAATTTTATCGAGATCGGTTCAGATTTGGATATAGCTCCTATATATAACTTCGTCCGATTTAACTTTTATGATGCACCAAATGTCTAATATTTGCCCAAATTGGATGAAATTTGGCACTCACGACCGAATTGAGTCTAGAAGAATCTAGAATGTCAAATTTGGTGAAGATCGGTTCAGATATAGCTATAGCTCCCATATATACTGTTCATCCGATTTGTTATATTCGTTACCCACATCCGTAATATGCACTCCGTTACAACGATATTCAGGGAAATATATCAAATACAGCTCAGAAATATCTTTGCCAAATTTTATCGAGATCGGTTGAGATCTGGATATAGCTCCCATATATATCATTATCTGATTTCAAATTAATTTTGCACCAAATGGGCAATACAAGTTCGAATTTAAAATATACAAATGCTTCGGCATATTCAGTCCTTTAAACATTAAATTATAATTATAATCATAGCGTGTATGATTGAATTCTCCCATAAAAACTGTTAATTGTTATGCGCAGCTCTACTAAATTAGCAAAGTGGTGTAGGGTATCATAAAATCGGCCCCGACCGACTTTAGGACTTTCTTTACTGGTTTCAAATTTGTTTCTCTTAGTTTTTAAAAAAAAGTTACATATTATTTTTAAAATATATTGATACGGTTGTGGTCTATTTCAGATAGGGAGGATTATTTGCCTGCCAATTTTATATATATATTTTTTATCCCTTTTTCATAAAAATATATGCAGTCTTTGTGTCTTCAGATTTAAGAAAGTTTTTCATAGGATCAATTCTATTCCAATGAGTTTATGTCTGATTTTGGGGATCTAACCCCATTCGGCCCTGCAAAGACATACGTTATAGGTTAATATATTGACAATGTGTGTAGTTTTTATCCACTGAAAAACAAAATACCAAATAATAAGTTTGTCAAAAAAAAAATCTATATTAAACCCTCAAAATACCTAAAATAAAAAAGTACCGTTATATAGGACCTGTATATAATACTGGACTTACCTTTACAACATTTTAAAGGGGGAGACTCTAAAATTCCTAGAAGGAAGTTATTTTTTCAAAATGTCATGTTACTCGAAATTACCGAAAATTAGGAGGTACAGTAATATGGGGCCTATACCAAATACAGAAGCAATCTTGAAGAGTTTTAGCATACAGAGACTATACCTACTCAGAACTCTAAATGTTAAGTTACACATGATTTGTTTTAAAATTGTGATCAAGACAATAATACTGGAAATCAGTTAGTAGCGCGATATGGTTGCCTTACCGAAACGTGGGCTGATATGTCTTATTATATGTCAAAATTTTCAATGAAAATAATTTATTGCACAGTAAGAGAAAGGATAATTGCTCCAATTTTGCATATCTTAATATTTTCATCAGTGCTAGGTCAGGTGTGAAAATGGACAATATCGGTCCACTCCATCAGCTACCTCCCCCACAAATGGTCAAAATTTTGAATAATTCCAACTCTCATAAAATGTGATGTAAGGGTCCGATTGTCTTCAAATTTCATACATCCCATTATATGTATTAACCCAAGGTCTGGTGTTAAGATGGGCAATGTCGGCCCACTCCTTCTGGCACCTCCCCCACAAAAGGTCGAAATTTGCAAAAATATATTTTTTTTGCACAGTAAGAGAAAGGATAATCCGATTTTGCTCCAATTTTGCAATTCCCAATATTTGCGTCAGCACTAGGTCAGGTGTGAAAATAGACAATATCGGTCCACTCCATCAGCTACCTCCCCCACAAATGGTCAAAATTTTGAATAATTCCAACTCTCATAAAATGTGATGTAAGCGTCCGATTGTCTTCAAATTTCACACATCCCAATATTTATATTTACCCAAGGCCTGATGTTAAGATGGAATATATCGGACCACTCCTTCTGGTACCTCCCCCACAAATGTTCGAAATTTTTAAAAATATATAGGTATTTTCTACACAGAAAGGGAAGCAATAATCTAATTTTGCTCTAATTTTGCAAATCCTAATATTTTTCTATGTCAGGAACCAAACTGAAAAATATTGGTCCACTCCATCTGCCTCTTCCACAAAGGGTCAACATTTTGAATAATTATAATTCTTAAAAAATATGATATAAGAGTCCGATTGTTTTCAAATTTCACACATCCTACTATTTTTATGAACCCAAGCTCTGGTAGAAAGATGGAATATATCGGTCCACTCCTTCTGGTACCTCCCCCACAAATGCTCCAATTTTTCAATATCCATGAAGTTCATAAAAATCAAAATAAACATCCGATTCCATTCCAGACATGGTACATCTCAAAATCGGACCTAAATAAATATATAAGAAAATCGAACATTTTTATCCAATTGTGTCCCTTTGTAGGTGAGGTACCAGAACGGGTTCGCAGATACATATAGCATCTTCACAACAGATCTTTTGTTAGCAAAACTGATTGCATGTGTGATATGTGAAAAGAGTTGAATGCTTATTTCGGATTTTATGATCGTTTTGGCTATTGAAAACTTCGACTATTTGTGGGGGAGGTACCAGAAGAAATGGTCCGATCTTTACAATCTTTATAACAGTTATTGTGTTTGTGGAAAAGTTGAGATGTGCCAAGTCGGAAAGGAATCGGTGGTTTTTTTCGCGTTTTATGAGCTTCATGGATATTCAAAATGTTGACCCTTTGTGGGGGACGTACCACAAGTAGTGGACTGACATATCCCATTTTCACAGCAGATATTGTGTTAATAGAAATAATGGGATTTTTGAAATATAAAGAGAACCAGATGCATATTTCAGATTTTATGATCGTTTTGGCTATTAAAAACTTCGACCCTTTGTGGGGGAGGTACCAAAAGAAATGGTCCGATCTCTACCGTCTTTAAAACCGATTTTGTGTTGATGGAAATATTAAGATGTGCCAAGTCGGAATGGAATCGGATGTTAATTTAGCGTTTTATAAGATTCATAGATATTCAAAATTTTGACTCTGTGATGGAGGTACCATAAGGAGTGGACAGATATATTCCATCTTCACACCAGACCTTGAGTTAATAAAAATATTGTGATCTGAGCAATTTGAAGATAATCCGACTCTTCCATCACATATTATAAGAGTTATAATTATTCAAAATGTTGACCCTTTGTGGGGAAGGTACTTGACGGAGTGGGCCGATATTGTCCACTTTCGAACCTGACCTAGCACTGATACAAATATTAGGACTTGCACAAAATCGGATTATCCTTTCTCTTTCTTTGCTGTGAAAAACAAACTTTGCTGTGAAAAAGATCTGACAATAGAACTTGAGTCGAACTTGGAGGATTTCTGGTGTTTAATTCGCATATGCATAATCGTATAAAGTTCGAAATAAATACTATTTTCCAGAAAACGGTTCTTGTAAGCCATCACCACACCAAATATGTCTGATGAGCCGCATAACCAACGGCGAAACGCTTCGGATATTGGTGAGTGTGTGATAGTGTCTAACTGGCTTTCCTTTTCACTGCAAATTTCAGATCATTAAGCCCGCCTCGAAAGAGAAATAAACACATAAATGTATATATTTTTTAAATTTCGAATTTTTGTGAGGAAGTTATCAGAAGTAGTGGACCGATATTGCCCATCTGCGAACTCGATCTAAGTTCGATAATAACATTACGATGTACGAAGTTTGGATCAAATCGGTTACTCCCAGACAGATGGACGGACGTACATCGCTAGATCGACTCTAAATCTTCTGAAACGGATTTGGTATAAAGAGACCTAGGGTCTAAACCCTCTCTAGCCATATGGCTGAGGATATAAAAACTAGGAAATATATATTTTTGGCAACATTGATGTAAATTTTCTCCGATGTATAATGGAACTGCAAATTTCTTTCCTTTGATAACTTATTTCGAATTTTGATGAAGACTATTTTTGTCTATAACATCATCCTTCCAAAATGATGCTTTGTATGAGAGTTTTGCATAAATCCCAAAATTAGTTTTTACTATTTATGAATTCCTGGCATTTAGGCACGATTTATTTCGAAGTTAATATACCTCCATTATACGATGGAGGACAGAAAAAGGCAAAAATGATATTGAAAATATGCCCTTTTTTGAAATTATTTTCCTTTAGCATCGCTCGAAATAATATTCTGCATTGTATACAAAACTATTTTGCAGGAGTTAAATATGTAAATACCTATTAAATATGTAAATACCTATTAAACCCAATACCTTTGCTTTTATTATGGTTTTAATAGGCCCCCAGTCAAAGATAATCGTAATTTAATTGTTCCCATTCATTTTTCCCCTTTCATTACAGTTTCCGAATATTATCGCAACAGCGGTGCTGGTTGTGGTGTCATATCTGCTGCTGGCCTTTCGGGAATGGCAGGGGCTGTTGTCTCGAGGAGCGGCAGCTGTGTGGCTGCAAGCAATAATGCTTCAACCCGTCGCCGCATGATGGCTCATCGAAACACATTCAATGAAGTCCACGAACTAGAACCATTGGGTATGGCGGATTAAATCCACGATTGGAGGAAGGTTAAATTTTGGTTTCAGCAAGAAATTAAATTAATGAAGAATAAAAATATATGAAATACATTAAAAACATTAAGAATTTAATTAAGCGGTTCATGGAAGTGTTTAATTTCGCCGCCCATGTTTATTAATTTTCGAAAAGATTGTATATTAAATTTAATAAATAGGTTGTTTCCATGTTGTCATTTCAATGGTCAAAGTGAAAAAAAAAAAATCATAATAAAATGTTTACAAATATTTCTTAAAAATAAGCTAGAAAGGATGGTAACGATAATAAAAAATGGGTGCCTTTTTTTGAAATCAAAAACAGAAGAAAGTATTTCATAAAAAGAGGAGAATTAAAATCACAAACAAGTTAGACCGGCTTCATATAGGAATTATTACAAAAGGACAAAAAGAAAAAATAGTGTGTTATTCGTATAAAATAAATTTTAATAAAAAACAAATATTTTAAGTCTTTAAATGGCGGCCAAGTTATATAATTCATAAAAGTGTCCGAATTCAGTATTCGGATGAGATCCATTGAAAACTGTAAGGCTGCAAATACATAAAGAGCATATTTGGCTGGCTTAAGTCATCGGCTGGCTTCTTCGGAAATGAACAAAGGAGCCTAGGGTCAAAATCGAACTAAGTCAACCTAAAACTCCTTTGTTCCTCTACGAAGAAGCCAGCCGATGACTTAAGCCAGTCAAATAAGCGCTTTATGTATTCCCAGCTTAAAGCCAATGAAATAAGTTGTAGAATGCAATTACAGTCTACAAAATACCATAAAATGAGCGCTGCCCTTATATGGACGATGTAGCAAAACATGCAGTAGGTTCCGAAGGAATGGGCCAATATTGTCCATTTCGTATCGGAAATACATAAATATAATATAAATATTGAGACATGCCAGGTTATGGGTACCAGAAGGAGTGGACCGATATATCTCATCTATACAACAGATCTTGTGTTAGGAAAAACAAGCAAAAAAAAACATAAGTTGGGCCGGGCCGAACCTTAAGGTTATGGAAGCATTAGAACCAATTATGACCCACAGATACCAATTTTTAGACTAATTCGTGGGAAAATGTGGCAAAAATCATCAAAATATCGAATATCGGGAGGTACCGCGTGGGAAAATGTGGCAAAAATCATCAAAATATCGAATATCGGGAGGTACCGCTATATAGGGCTATACAAAAACGTGAACCTATACATACAATGTTTCGCCAACGGAGCTAGAACCCGTTATGACCAACAAATACCAATTTTTAGACAAACCCATGAAAAAATGAGGCAAAAATCATCAAAATACCGAATATCGGGAGATACCGTTATATGGGGGTTATACCAAAGCGTGGACCTATACATACAATGTATAACCCATTATGACCTACAAATACCAATTCTCAGACAAATCCGTGAATAAATGTGGCAAAAATCATCAAAATACCGAATATCGGGAGGTACCGCTATATGGGGGCTATACCTTGTACATGCAATGTTTCGCCACCGGAGCTAGAACCCGTTATGACCAAAAAATACCAAATTTTAGACAAATCCATAAAAAATTTGGGAAATATCATCAAAATACCGAATATCGAGAGGTACCGCTATATGGGGGCTATACTAAAACATGGACTTGTACTTGCAATGTTTCGCCACTAGAGCTAGAACCCTTTGTGACCAACAAATACCAATTTTTGGACAAATCCATGAAAAAATGCGGCAAAAATCATCAAAATATCGAATATCGGGAGGTACCGTTATATGGCGACTATACCAAAACGTGGACCGATATATGTCATTTTCAATACCAACCATCCTAGACACAATACAAATTATTCTGCTAGATTTTGACGCTCTACGTCAAATAATGTGTCCTGTATCGTGATTTCAACAGACAGACAGACGGACATCATTAAATCGACTTAGAATTTTATCCTGATAATGAATATATATACATTATGGGGTCTACGACCTCCTCCTTTGCAAGGTGGGGAGTATAATAAAGGGATGTGGGAAATATGAAGAGAACCGGATGTTTATTTCGGATTTTATAATCGTTTTGGTTATTTAAAATTTTGAGTCTTTGTGGGGAGGTCTACGATCGTTACCATCTTTATAACAGGTCTAAATGGAATCGGATGCTAATTTCGCGTTTTACGGGCTTAATGGATATTAACAATTTCGGGGAGGTACCAGAAGGAGTGGACCGATATATTCCATCTTAACACCAGACCTTGGGTTAATATAAATATTGTGATGTATGAAATTTGAAGAAAATAGGAATGTTACATCACATTTTATGAGAGTTGTAATTATTCAAAATGTTGTCCATTTGTGGGGTTGGTACCAGAAGGAGTGGACCGATACTGTCCATTCTCGCACTAGGCCTAGCACTGACGCACATATTAAGCACTGACGCACATATTAGCAAAATCAGATTATCGTTTCTCTTTCTATGCAAAAAATATCTATTTTTTTTAAATTTCGACCATTTGTGGGGGAGGTACCTGAAGGAGTGGACCGATATATTCCTTCTTAACACCATACCTTCGGTTTATATAAATATTGGATGTGTGAAATTTGAAGACAATCGGACTCTTAAATCAGATTTTATGAGAGGTGTAATTATTTAAAATTTTGACCATTTGTGGGGGAGGTGCCAGAAGGAGTGGGCCGACATTGCCCATCTTAACACCAGACCTTGGGTTAATATATATATATAATGGGATGTGTGAAATTTGAAGACAATCGGACCCTTACATCACATTTTATGAGAGTTGGAATTATTCAAAATTTTGACCCTCTGTGGGGGAGGTACTTCATGGAGTGGACTGATATTATCCTTTTTTGCACCTGCGTAAATATTAGTATTTGCAAAGTTGGATCAAATTCGGATTATTGCTACTCTTTCTGTGCAAAAAAAAAATTTTTTTTTTTCAAAATTTCGACCTGTTGTGGGGAAGGAGTGGATCAATGTATTCCACCTTTACACCAGGTCTTGGGTTAATAGAAAATATTCGATTGTGTGAAATTTGAAGACAAAGAGTTGTGATTATTCAAAATTTTAACCCTTTGTGGGCAAGGTACTTGATGACGTGGACAGATATTGTCCATTTTCGCACCTGAGCTAGCAATGACGCCAACATTAGGATTTCCAAAGTTGAAGTAAAACTGGATTATCGTTTCTTTCTGGCAGAAAATATATATTTTCAATTTCGACCTTTGGTGGAGGAGGTACCAGAAGGAGTTGACCGATGTTGCCCATCTGCGAACTCGATCTAATTTTGACAAACATATTAGGATGTACCAAGTTTGGACCAAATCGGATACTCCCTTTGAGATTTATCATGCCACCCAGCCAAACAGACAGACGTACATCCCTAGATGTACATTTGCGGGAAAAATACAAAAGGAAAAGGGATAGAACTTCAGTTGCTTTTGGTGATCTTCTTGGAGTCTGCGTCCATTTGTGAATGCTCGTTCGTCCATCTGTCCATGTGTTTCTACATCAAACTAAGATCGAGATGAGCAAAATCGACCCACTCCTACCGATGAAAATTATGCAAATCCTAATAGTTTTATCAGTGCTGCGTCAGGTGCGAATTCGGACAACATCGGCCCACTCCATCAAGTATATCCCCTACAAGGGTCAAAATTTTGAATAACAATGAAGTTCATAAAGCGCCAAATGAGCATTGGATTACTTTCAAGCTCGGAAAATTCAATTGAGCTATCAACATAAGATCTTGTGTTGGCCCCCACAAAGGAGTCAATTTTTTGACTAGCCACAAAGAGTCAAAATTTTCAATACTTATACCTTCATAACTTGCGAAACAAGTCAGCGTTTTGTTTTTTTTTCAAACTTGGGGTATCTAAATATTTCTCCTAAATAGAGATCTGATGTAAATATGGAATTTCCATATATTTCGGGAAGGTACCCAAAAAAGGTAAACATATTGAAAATAAATCTTAGATGTTCTTAAAATTTTACACACCCCATTATTCTTATCAGTTTTAGATGAAGTGTGAATATGGAATACTTCGGCCCACTATATCTGGTACCTAAGGCACATTTCAAAATTTTACAAAAATATATCACATATCTCACATAAAGGATATTAATAATATTGGCCCATTGCCACTAAAAGGTCAGCTGATACTTTTCGTTTTTATACCCTACCATACTATGTGTTGGGGGTATTATAAGTTTGATTGGGCCAAAAATTATGTAACACCTCGAAATATTGGTTTCCCACATAGGAAAGTATATATGAATCTTCCTATCTCGCCGAGTTGAGTCGATCTAGCTATGTATGTCCGTCCGTCCGTCTGTCCGTCTGTCCATGTTAATTTGTAATCACTCTACAGGTCGCAATTATGGCCCTATCTTCACGAAATTTAGAATGGAGGTGGGGCTAGGGTCAGAATAGAACACTATTTCTTTTGGAGATGATCGCCATAATATTTAGGGGTCGAACTGGACCAAAAACTGAAAAAATGTCGGATTTTGCAGTAGTTATACAGGTCGCAATTATAGACCAATCGACGCGGAACTTCGCATGTAGCTAGAGTTTAGGGCGGGGAAGAAGCCTACCAATTTGGGTGGTCATCGGATAATATTCAGCGGGTAAAATAGACCATTTATTTTGTGTTGAAAAAATTCAGAATTTTTCATTAAACCGCGAATATTTTAAATCCCGGCGAAATCGCAAAGCCATGACAAGGTTACTCCTGATCTTTACATTGATGTTAACATCCAACAAAACGGATATATAGCAAAATATGTGCGATATATATGTCTATCAAAGAAGATATGCTTGAAAGATCTCTTATGTGTCGAGAACGGCTGAACTGATTTCGACAGTTCTCATTAATTCAGAATGGCCTCTTGGCAGGAAAGAAACAACTCTCTAAAGATGAAAATATTGATTTTTCTCATTTTTTTTTTTCAATTTTGTCATATTTTTTTGGCATATTTTCATTTTGAATTAAACATTTGGTAATATTTCTACAGCTAACAAAACTAAGTAGTTAGGATATCAGGATATCATATACAGATCGCATTTATGACCCGATCCTAACGAAATTTTACATGGGGATCAGATGAGGGTCAGAATAGAAGCCTACTCTTTTTTGGAGATGATCGCCATATATTTAGGGGTTGAAATGGACCAAAAAAAAACTGCAAAATTGTCAGCAGGTCGTAATTATTGCCCGATCCTCAGGCACATTTGAATGGGGGTTACCGGACATTGCAAAAGCCAAGCAGTTTTGGATGGCCATCCAAAAATATTCAATGTGTGAAATAGTTTGCCAACTTTTGTAGACAAAATACGGAAAGCTCCATTCC